ATTTTTTAAAAAATCCACGTCTGTCAATAAATGGAAAAAATATTTTTTAAAAAATCCACGTCTGTCAATAAATGGAAAAAATATTTTTAAAAAATCCACGTCTGTCAATAAATGGAAAAAATATTTTTTAAAAAATCCACGTCTGTCAATAAATGGAAAAAATATTTTTTAAAAAATCCACGTCTGTCAATAAATGGAAAAAATATTTTTTAAAAAATCCACGTCTGTCAATAAATGGAAAAAATATTTTTTAAAAAATCCACGTCTGTCAATAAATGGAAAAAATATTTTTTAAAAAATCCACGTCTGTCAATAAATGGAAAAAATATTTTTTAAAAAATCCACGTCTGTCAATAAATGGAAAAAATATTTTTTAAAAAATCCACGTCTGTCAATAAATGGAAAAAATATTTTTTAAAAAATCCACGTCTGTCAATAAATGGAAAAAATATTTTTTAAAAAATCCACGTCTGTCAATAAATAGAAAAAATATTTTTTAAAAAATCCACGTCTGTCAATAAATGGAAAAAATATTTTTTAAAAAATCCACGTCTGTCAATAAATGGAAAAAATATTTTTTAAAAAATCCACGTCTGTCAATAAATGGAAAAAATATTTTTTAAAAAATCCACGTCTGTCAATAAATGGAAAAAATATTTTTTAAAAAATCCACGTCTGTCAATAAATGGAAAAAATATTTTTTAAAAAATCCACGTCTGTCAATAAATGGAAAAAATATTTTTTAAAAAATCCACGTCTGTCAATAAATGGAAAAAATATTTTTTAAAAAATCCACGTCTGTCAATAAATGGAAAAAATATTTTTTAAAAAATCCACGTCTGTCAATAAATGGAAAAAATATTTTTTAAAAAATCCACGTCTGTCAATAAATGGAAAAAATATTTTTTAAAAAATCCACGTCTGTCAATAAATGGAAAAAATATTTTTTAAGAAATCCACGTCTGTCAATAAATGGAATTTTTTTTTTTTTAAATCCACGTCTGTCAATTAATGGAAAAAATATTTTTTTTAAAAAATTCACGTCTGTCAATAAATGGAAAAAAAATATTTTTTTAAAAAATCCACGTCTGTCAATAAATGGAAAAAATATTTTTTAAAAAATCCACGTCTGTCAATAGTTGAAAAAAATATTTTTAAAAATAATCCACGCCTGTTTTTAAAAAAAAAATCCTTGTTTTTTTATTATTTATATATACAGAAGGATGATACAGCGCCATCTATATTTGATTTTGTGTATTTTTCAAGATGAGGATTTCGGTACGTACTCATGGACTTGAGTGTTTTCCATCTGTAGAAGACCTCCATTGAGTCTCCTGTCCATAGAATAATGTTAAATAAATAAAATACATTTTTACCGCTCATGCATCGAAATTTCGAGTTCGTGTCTTAAGTCTTTTGTTTTTTCGCGACTTATTTTATGAAATTCCTCAAATTTTGATTAAAAATTATTTTTTATGATATACAAGCTCCTATAAAAGACTAGCAAAAAATATAATTTTTTAATAAGTAGAATCTTATTGAATTTATGTTTGAAGGCCAGACCAAACCTAAAAATCCTTAAAAATATTGAAAAAAAATTCAAGGCTGTTACATCCCATGAAAAAGGTTCCTAGCAATTGAGGATGGGCCCAAGCGGTCTTTAATAAGTCTTCTCCATTTAGAAGGACTGTGCCAAATCTACGCCACTGCATTTTCCAAACCTCAGCCAATATCACCTACAAAACTTATCAACACCAAAAATGAAATATGTTAAGGAATTGTGCGATTTTTTGCTCAAAAAAAAAAAAAAAAAAAAAAAAATAGAAAAAAAAATTGGGCACGACTAGCTATAAATGTATGTGTGTATTTCACACATACATACATACACATGCACACTGTCCATACATTGTAGAGCTCTGGGCATAGCTCTCTGGCTTTATGCAGCAAAAAATAAAAAAAAAAATAAATGCAATATCGTGATCTGGTAACCTCTTGGCCGAAGGTTAGATTTGTCTTTAACAATGAAACGAAAGTGGTCACAGCTATTGACAACACATTCGCTGGGTCTGTGAGGACTTGTGCGAATATGTGTCTGTGGCATGAGGCGGCGGCTTGTATCTGATCTAAATACATTGTAGTGGAGGAAATTTTGTGAGAAAAGCTGTTTGGAGTTTCGATATTCGATATTTTTGATGATGTTGCTGTTTTCTTCCGTCCACTTCCTTGACGTCCACGGTATCACAGTAACGCAGTTTTTTCATCTCACCGTGTATGCCTCTCTAGCCATATGGCTGAGGGTATAAAAAAGTTCGTTTCTTAAGTCTTTTGTTTGCACTCTAAATTTAAGATTCTCCAAAATTCTCCTACTTAGAAAATTTTTTTTATGACTTTGAAAATTAAATTTTCATATCACCAGCTTTCAATAGCGCTGGGAAAATTTTAATAGTTTTCAGATTCAAAAGGAAATTACACCTCCATAAAGATTGTCGTAATTTCCCTGAGGTCGTCTCAGCCTCCAGTGAAAATAAAATCATTAAAAAAATAAGACAAAATTTAATTGGACACAAAATTGGAGGTTGGGAGAGGAGATTTCACTGGATGATAGTTCAGCCTGAGTGCTAAGAGATCGATCAACAACAACAAAAAATATGACAACAAAATTTGTAGAAAAATTAATTCCATTGTTGTTGCTGTTGCTAATCACATGTTATGTCACATGGGAGGAGATTGATTGGGAATTTGATATTTTTTCAATTTTTTTCTCAAATTGAAAACCTTTTTTTTTTTTTGGGACCGCTCTTGGCTTTTTTTTGAGGATAAGTGACGATTTTAAGGGGTTTTATTTTTTTTTTCTCAAATTTGGCCACTGATGTCATGCTGAGTCAAAGACTTAAAAAACAAACTTTTTTCGAGAGCTTTGAAAAAAAAATCAGAGATCCGACATCAACGAGAATTTAGAATAGAATAAATAAATTAGAACTGATGGAGCGATTAGAATAGGATGTGGGTACGTGTGTGACATGCGTAATGTGATACAAAACAAGTAAGAAAGCTGTAAGTTCGGCCGGGCCGAACTTGGAATACCCTAAACTCCAGCTCTTGGGGATTTTTTTCTATAGAAAAATATTGGTCCCCAGCTCTTGGGAATTTTTTTCTATAGAAAAAAATTGGTCCCCAGTTATTGGGGATTTTTTTTCTATAGAAAAAAATTCGATCCCCAGTTACTGGGGATTTTTTTCTATAGAAAAAAATTCGATCCCCAGTTACTGGGGAATTTTTTCTATAGAAAAAAATTCGATCCCCAGTTATTGGGGATTTTTTTCTATAGAAAAAAAATCGGATCCCCAGTTATTGGGGATTTTTTTCTATAGAAAAAAAATCGGATCCCCAGTTATTGGGGATTTTTTTCTATAGAAAAAAATTCGATCCCCAGTTATTGGGGATTTTTTTTCTATAGAAAAAAATTCGATCCCCAGTTATTGGGGATTTTTTTTCTATAGAAAAAAATTCGATCCCCAGTTATTGGGGATTTTTTTTCTATAGAAAAAAATTCGATCCCCAGTTATTGGGGATTTTTTTTCTATAGAAAAAAATTCGATCCCCAGTTATTGGGGATTTTTTTTCTATAGAAAAAAATTCGATCCCCAGTTATTGGGGATTTTTTTTCTATAGAAAAAAATTCGATCCCCAGTTATTGGGGATTTTTTTTCTATAGAAAAAAATTCGATCCCCAGTTATTGGGGATTTTTTTTCTATAGAAAAAAATTCGATCCCCAGTTATTGGGGATTTTTTTTCTATAGAAAAAAATTCGATCCCCAGTTATTGGGGATTTTTTTTCTATAGAAAAAAATTCGATCCCCAGTTATTGGGGTTTTTTTTTTCTATAGAAAAAAATTCGATCCCCAGTTATTGGGGTTTTTTTTTTCTATAGAAAAAAATTCGATCCCCAGTTATTGGGGATTTTTTTCCTATAGAAAAAAATTCGATCCCCAGTTATTGGGGATTTTTTTCCTATAGAAAAAAATTCGATCCCCAGTTATTGGGGATTTTTTTTCTAATTCGATCCCCCCCAGTTATTGGGGAAATTCGATCCCCAGTTATTGGGAATTTTTTTTCTATAGAAAAAAATTCGATCCCCAGTTATTGGGGATTTTTTTTTCTATAGAAAAAAATTCGATCCCCAGTTATTGGGGATTTTTTTCTATAGAAAAAAATTCGATCCCCAGTTATTGGGGATTTTTTTCTATAGAAAAAAATTCGATCCCCAGTTATTGGGGATTTTTTTTCTATAGAAAAAAATTCGATCCCCAGTTATTGGGGATTTTTTTCTATAGAAAAAAATTTATCCCCCCAGTTATTGGGGATTTTTTTCTATAGAAAAAAATTCGGGTCCCCAGTTGCACTGGGGATTTTTTTCTATAGAAAAAAATTCGATCCCCAGCTATTGGGGATTTTTTTCTATAGAAAAAAATTCGATCCCCAGCTATTGGGGATTTTTTTCTATAGAAAAAAATTCGATCCCCAGCTATTGGGGATTTTTTTCTATAGAAAAAAATTCGGTCCCCAGTTGCACTGGGGATTTTTTTCTATAGAAAAAAATTCGGGTCCCCAGTTGCACTGGGGATTTTTTTCTATAGAAAAAAATTCGGGTCCCCAGTTGCACTGGGGATTTTTTTCTATAGAAAAAAATTCGGGTCCCCAGTTGCACTGGGGATTTTTTTCTATAGAAAAAATTCGGGTCCCCAGTTGCACTGGGGATTTTTTTCTATAGAAAAAAATTCGATCCCCAGTTACTGGGGATTTTTTTCTATAGAAAAAAATTCGATCCCCAGTTACTGGGGATTTTTTTCTATAGAAAAAAATTCGATCCCCAGTTACTGGGGATTTTTTTCTATAGAAAAAAATTCGATCCCCAGTTACTGGGGATTTTTTTCTATAGAAAAAAATTCGATCCCCAGTTACTGGGGAATTATTTTTATTTTCATTTCCTGTCACTCACCTTGCCATAACTGTTCAATGGCCCGCTAACCCAGCGATCAGCCTCCAGACGTCCTGTCATCAGTGCACCTGTATCCGGATCAATGCGTTGCCATTCACGCACTTCCCGTTGGAAGGGTGAGCGGGCACCATGTTTGCCCAGATGATGATCGCCTGCCGTTGTCGTCGTCCCCGAGGGGGCAAATAAACGCAGCTCCTTTTGATTGTGAGCATTCGGCGATGTTGTTGTGGTTGATGTCATGATTTCCATTTTTAATGTTGTTGTTCTAGCTTTTTTTTCTAATTGTATTATTTACATGAACTATTCTACCAGGAAGTCGAACTTCCTTCTTCTACGGAGTTTTGCTGGCTTTGTCTATTTTTCTTTCTCCCAGTTTTCTTTTCTGTAATTGATGAGCTTCGTTGTTCTTTCTCTCTCTTTTTGTCTTCGGTAATTTATGATTTTAGGTTTGGCTAATTCTTTTTCGTAGATTAGCTCTCTGGTGGGGTATCAGCTAATCGTCGCTTGTCTGACCAGCTTTCTTTGCAATTCGCTGATGCTGATGATGGCTGCTACTGTTTTATCTGTTCTTTTCATGAACACCAGCAATTTTTCACGCTCTAATTTAATTAATGTTGCTTCTCGGTTCGGTCTAAAGATAACACCTTTGTTTTCCAAAATTCATAAATCATCAAATAAATCTGTGAACAAAAAATAAATAAAAAATTAGAAACTTTAATAATTTATAATTAATTGTTATTGTAAAGAAAGTTAATAGGGGAAAGAGCCTAGTTTTGGAAAGTAAATCAGATTTATAGAAAAAAAATAAAAAATTGTAAAAGTAACAATCGTAAGACCCTAATGGACCTCGATTTTAATTGCTTAAAAAATATACATTTGAGGACTAAAAGGAGTCTTTAAAAAATTCTTCGTAAATCTCCGATTAAAGGCTTGAAGAGGTTTCTGGTTGGAAAAATACATTTGAAGACTTCTTAAAAAATTGAAGTTATTGGGAATTTTTTTCTCTAGAAAAAAATTGATCCCCAGTTATTGGGGATTTTTTCTATAGAAAAAAAATTTATCCCCAGTTATTGGGGATTTTTTTCTATAGAAAAAAAATTATCCCCAGTTATTGGGGATTTTTTTTATAGAAAAAAATGTATCCCTAGTTATTGGGGATTTTTTTTTATAGAAAAAAAAATTATCCCCAGTTATTGGGGATTTTTTCTATAAAAAAAATTTATCCCCAGTTATTGGGGATTTTTTTTATAAAAAAAAAATTATCCCCAGTTATTGGGGATTTTTTTCTAACAGAAAAAAATTGATCCCCAGTTATTGGGGATTTTTATCTATAGAAAAAAATGTATCCCCTGTTATTGGGAAATTTTTTCTATAGAAAAAAATTGATCCCCAGTTATTGGGTAGAGGGTCTCTAATTTTTTTTTTAAAATAATCACATTTTAAAGCTCGAAGGGGACTTTTATAATTCTTTAAAAGATTAAATCCAAAAGCCCTGCGATATTCTTGAAAAAAAAAATAAATAAATAAAAATCACATTTAAAGTTATGTGAAGGATTCATTAAAAAGTCCTGACTTGAAGCATGAAGATCTCTTTGAATTTAGAATTTAAAAACCACATTTGATATTTTTATGATTTTTTTAAAAAATCTACTTAAAGGTAAAAATCTTTGTTAAAAGGTCCATGGTTTTTTTTAAGTCCTTTGGGGATTTTTAAAAAATCTTTAAAAAGAATATACTCCTGAAGACCTTTGGCTATTTAAAAAAAAATCAATTTTATTTTCAAAGGCCTTAGAGGAACTCTAAAAAATCCTCAAAAAAAAACCTTTGAAGATTTCGAAAATTTTTTTTTTTGAAAAATAGAATGTTTTATGACTTCAGTGGTCTCAGAAAAATTATAAAATTATCCTCATCTGAGGGTGTTAAGGCATAATTAAAGAAATTTAATGATTTTGTTGAAACCATATTTGAAGGTCTCTAGTGATCTCCTCGTTTAAAGACCATAACGATTTTCAAAAATGCAATTAAATGGGGATTTGTGAACATTTTGTAAAAAATTCTTGATGTCCTGAAAAAATAAACGAAAAAAAAAAAAAATAAAAAAAGTTTAAATGCCGTTAGGAGTCCCTCTAAATTCACTTTTGAAGGCCTTTGGGAACTCCTGATTTTTTTTTTAAACTCCAATTTTGAAGGCCTTTGGGAACCCCAGAAAAATTCCTTAAAAATCCACGTTTGAGAGCCTTTGGGAATCCCTGAAAGTCCACACTTGAAAGACTTTTGGGAACCCCTGATTTTTTTAAATTCAAGTTTGAAGGCCTTTGGTAATCCCCGAAAATCCACATTTGAAGGCCTTTGGGAACCCCTCAATTTTTTTATAACTCCAAGTTTGAAGGCATTTGGGAATCCTTAAAAATCCACTTTTGAAGGCCTCTGAGAACCCCTGACAAGTTTTTTAAATAAATTGCGTTTGAAGGACTTTGGGAATCTCTGAAAAATTCTTTAAAAAGGCCTAGGAAGGTCTTTGAAAATTTCTTTAAAAAATTCACATATGAAGGTCTTTGGAGATCTCTGAAAAATTCTTTAAAAATCCACGTTTGAAGGTTTCTTAAGTTCTTTAAAAAAATATTTAAAAAATTGATTGAAAAAATTCTTTGAAAAATCCACGTTTAAAGGCCTTTAAAAATTCTTTAAAAAATCCAAGTTTGAAGGCCTTTCAAGATCTCTGAAAATTTCTTTAAAAAATCCACCATTTGAGATCTATAGAAAATCCATAAAAAATCCACGTTAAAAGATATTTGGAAATTTAGAGTCCTTGAAAGGTTTTTGGAAATTTCTTAAAAAAATCGACGTTTAAAGGCCTTTGGAGATGTTTGGAAAATTCTTTAAAAAATCCATGTCTAAAGGCATTTGGAGATCTCTGAAAAATTCAAGTAATCCACGTTTGAAGGCCTTTGGAGATCTCTGAAAAATTCTTTAAAAAATCCACGTTTAAAGACCTTTAGAAGCCTCTGAAAAATTCTTTAAAAATCCACGTTTGAAGGCTTTGGAGATCTCAGAAAAATTCTTTGAAAACTCCACTTTTCTAGGCCTGAAAAATTATTTAAAAAATCCACGTTTCTAGGCCTTTGAAAATCTCTTAAAAAATTCTTTAAAAAATCCACGTTTCTAGGCCTTTGAAAATATCTTAAAAGAATTTTTTTTAAAAAAATCCACGTTTCTAGGCCTTTGAAAATCTCTTAAAAAATTCTTTAAAAAATCCACGTTTCTAGGCCTTTGAAAATCTCTTAAAAGATTTTTTTTAAAAATTCTTTAAAAAAAATCCACGTTTCTAGGCCTGAAAAATTCTTTAAAAAAAATCCACGTTTCTAGGCCTGAAAAATTCTTTAAAAAAAACCCACGTTTCTAGGCCTGAAAAGTTCTTTAAAAAATCCACGTTTCTAGGCCTTTGAAAATCTCTTAAAAAAATTCTTTAAAAAAATCCACTTTTCTAGGCCTGAAAAATTCTTTAAAAAATCCACGTTTCTAAGCCTTTGAAAATCTCTGAAAAATTCTTAAAAAAATTCACGTTTCTAAGCCTTTGAAAATCTCTGAAAAATTCTTTGAAAAATCCACGTTTAAAGGCTTTTGGAGATGTTTGGAAAATTCTTTAAAAAATCAACGTTTGAAGGCTTTTAAGAATCTCTGAAAAATTCTTTAAAAAATCCACGTTTCTAGCCCTTTGAAAATATTCCTTGTTTAAAGGCCTTGAAAGGTCTTTGGAAATTTCTTTGAAAAATCCACGTTTAAAGGCTTTTGGAGATGTTTGGAAAATTCTTTAAAAAATCCACATTTAAAGGCCTTTGGAGATCTCGGAAAATTCTTTAAAAAATCCACGTTTCTAGGCCTTTGAAAATCTCTGAAAAATTCTTTAAAAAATCCACGTTTGAAGGCCCCTAAGAATCTCCGAAAAATTCTTTAAAAAATCCACGTTTGAAGGCTCCTAAGAATCTCCGAAAAATTCTTTAAAAAATCCACTTTTGAAAGCCTTTTGATTCTCTGAAAAAATCTTTAAAAAATCTAGGTGTAAAAAGGCCTTTGGAGATCTCTGAAAAATTCTTCAAAAAGTCCACGTTTAAAGGCTTGTAAGAATCTCTGAAAAATTCTTTAAAATCCAAGTTCGAAAGCCTTTCGGAATTTTCAAAATTCAATAAAAAAGGAAGTTTTAAGGCCTTTTCGAATTTTTAATTTTTTTTAGAAAATCCACATTGGAAGGCCTTTCCGAATTTTTAAAAAAATCTTTAAAAAATCCAAGTTTGAAGGTCTTTCCGAATTTTAATTTTTTTAAATCTACGTTTGAAGGATTTTCGGAATTTTCAAAAAAATCTTTAAAAAACGCCTTTGAAGTTCTTTTCGAATTTTAAAAAATCCAAGTTTGAAGGCCTTCCGGAATTCTTGGATTTTTAAAGAATCCACGTTTGAGGGCCTTTGGAAATATTTTAAAAAATTGTTTAAATAATCCATGAGTGAAGGCCTTGGGAGGCTTTTGTGGGTCTCCGAAAAAAAAAATTCAAAAATCCACGTCTGAAAGCTTGAAAAGGTTTTTGAATAATTCTTAAAAATACGTCATTTAATAGCCACAACTTTGTGCGGTTCTCAAGAAACAGCTGTTGCCCATAAGCAGATTTGAATACTTGAACACAGCTACATACATATGCCTGTCTGTTCATGTTTATATTTTGGAGTATGAAATTTATTACTCACATAACTTGTTGTTGTTGTTGTTCAAATTTTGATACTCCGGTATTTTTTTGTTTTGTGAATTTTTAATGATTTCCATAATCATCGGCACGTTCATGTTCTACAGTTCCGAGTGATTTAAATTTGTCGGAATTAAGAAAAGGCAAAAAAAAGCGGAATGAAAGACATACAGCCGGTTTGTTGACTGGATGGATGGATGGACAGTCAGTGAGCCAGCCAGCCAGTCGTAACACCATCAAATGTCTGCTGGTCTGTCTGTCTGTCCGTCCGTTGTTTCGCTTATGAGTAGCTATTAAGGTAGTGGTTCTGGTTTTGTAATTATTATTCCAACACACATGATGGCCAAAGGCAGGCCAACTACCACCAGCAGCAGAATGACAGCCGGCAGTAGCTGGAGTAGCCAGGGAAGAGAGGGGAGACGGGGATCTGTAATCCGCTACAGCCTACTAAAAATTTCAATGTAGCAAAAAGAGGCAGGCAATTTGTGTGTGTGTGTGTCGAACAAGAACTACTCCCAAGAATTGGAATTGAGTACAAGTTCAAAGTTGTTTTTCCAATTTCGATCCCCTCCTGCCTTTCGGCTTTTTCTGCTGCCGATGAAAAACCAACCAACATTTCCAACTCTAAATAACTGATCATTTCAAATGGAAAACTCATCAAAACAAGAACAAGTTTATGTTGTTGTTGCCGGTTAACACTAATTTCCCCGAGTTGCAGAAAAACAGTGTTCTTTCTATGTGTGAGTGTGTGTGTGTGCGTTTGTTTGTGTCTGAGGAAAAATCAAGAAAAACAACATGACCGGAATAACTTTATGTTTATCTGCAGCAAAAAAACAAAACAAAAAATTGATAGGCAATAGACGCATGACCAAGTCGATAGAAAAACTAGTCCACATATCCATGGAAAAGAGCGTCTTAAGAATGGGAACGAACAACAACAGCAATAA